TTACAAAAAAAAAAAAGGAATTTTCTTTTCCAATGGTCTACTATAAAAATTTAAAGCCAAGTGGCAAGTGGCATTCTAGCCGAGCGCCAGGCACTTAAGCAAGATAAGTGGCAGCTGGCACTATAAGCCGAACGCCAGACACTTGCTAAAAATTTAAAGCCAAGTGGCAAGTGGCATTCTAGCCGAGCGCCAGGCACTTAAGCAAGATAAGTGGCAGCTGGCACTATAAGCCGAACGCCAGACACTTGCTAAAAATTTAAAGCCAAGTGGCAAGTGGCATTCTAGCCGAGCGCCAGGCACTTAAGTAAGATAAGTGGCAGCTGGCACTATAAGCCGAACGCCAGACACTTGCTAAAAATTTAAAGCCAAGTGGCAAGTGGCATTCTAGTCGAGCGCCAGGCACTTAAGCAAGATAAGTGGCAGCTGGCACTATAAGCCGAACGCCAGACACTTGCTAAAAATTTAAAGCCAAGTGGCAAGTGGCATTCTAGCCGAGCGCCAGGCACTTAAGCAAGATAAGTGGCAGCTGGCACTATAAGCCGAACGCCAGACACTTGCTAAAAATTTAAAGCCAAGTGGCAAGTGGCATTCTAGCCGAGTGCCAGGCACTTAAGCAAGATAAGTGGCAGCTGGCACTATAAGCCGAACGCCAGACACTTGCTAAAAATTTAAAGCCAAGTGGCAAGTGGCAAGTGGCATTCTAGCCGAGCGCCAGACACTTAAGCAAGATAAGTGGCAGCTGGCACTATAAGCCGAACGCCAGACACTTGCTAAAAATTTAAAGCCAAGTGGCAAGTGGCATTCTAGCCGAGCGCCAGGCACTTGCCGTACAAACACACAGCGAAGCTAATATAAAAAGAAAAAGAGAGAAAAGATATATATGTACTGAAGATAAGTTGAACAGAGCACAACACATAGAGAAAAAGAGTTCGGCCATTTTATTAATATTGAACATTTAGTTTACAAAAGAGAGATGTCCATCATTACAAGAAGATATGAACTGGAAGAATTCGAAGGAGCCCTAGCTAGACGCCTCAGTACCAACAGCATCCTGGTCTTGCCGACTCGCCTCCTCGGCCCCATCAGCCGCCTCACCTTCATGAGGTGGGGAATCCAGGTGAATAACTGAGTCGTTCGGCAGGGGTTCAGCGTCAGCAGTGGCTACAGAGGGAGCCACGGTTGACGATTGGGGAGCGGTCAGTGGCAGAGCGGTAGGAGGAGCTGTGATGATCCTTGAGGATGCGATGTCCTGGCACTCATCAAATATACGTTCCGCTTCGGTGGGTTCTGGGTCGACATAGACCCCCAGGGGTTCGATCCCCAGATCCTTGTCTACCTCATCCGGAGTGGAGCTGGTCTGTCCCTCATCCGGAACCCGGTCGGCGAAACCTTCCCGGAATCCTTGAGCATACCGAAGAGCACCGACCCTGGAGAACCGAGCGTGAAGGGCCAGCATCCCACCACCCACTCTGCTGATAGCGTCGATCAGAGCGGTACGCTCGTCCAGAGCTCTTTTTTCAAAAGCCATCCGAGCAGACTGTTCATCAGCTAGAAGGCGTTGGAGTTCTGCCTTCTCTTCTCTGAGTGATTCCTGCTCAGTCTGCCAGACGCTCTTCTCAAGCTGGAGGGCGTCCTTCTCATCCTGAAGGGAATCATTCTCCTTTTTCAGGACATCTCTCTCTTGCTCGGCTTTGTCAAGCCGAACCAGCACCTCGGTATTCTTCATGGCAAGGAGGTCGTTTTCTTTATTAGCCACCTCCAGGCTGTCAGAATACTTTCGGGCCCTGGCGTTCCCCATTTCCACCTGCTTCTGCATGGCCATCATCCCGAACAATGTCTGCATAGGTGCACAATAAGAACGGTTAAACCAATAGTCAGAACGGGCGAAGGCAAGACCAAGTAATATAAGAGAATTCATGAGTTAGAAAATAAAAGTCACCTCCATAGCAGATTGGGGAAAGCGACTGAACACGTCCTTCTGGGAAAGGCCCTTTGCCGCCTCAATGTCCTTCGGAGTCCACATGCTCCTGTAGTAGGCCATAGCGGTCTGGCCATCCTTCAGCATGGTCTCGTTCGGTTTCACGAACGTCCCATCCGTTCGAGTGTACCGAGGGGCCCATGGCGGTAAGCTGGGGATAGAAGGGGGGCCTGAAGCAGAAGCAGAGCCACCAGCTGCAGGAGGCCCAGAGGGAGAAGGAGCTCTGATCGCTCGGTGCAAGAGAGTACCCGGCCCAGAGACTCGGGTCCTTCTAATAAGAGGCTCCTCCTCATGATCGATTTCACTGTTAGGATGAGGCCTTTTGCCTCGCTCTTTGTCCCGACCGCCCCCCGCAGCAGCAGGAGCTATGGTAGCTGGGGAGGGCGCGTTCTGGTTGGCAGCAGGGGCGCTGGCAACAGGGTTAGTAGCCACTGCGCTAGGGACAGTGTCAGATATGGTGGCTGAAGAAGAAGCCGACGCTGGAGAGGAGGTCGCCCCAGCAGCAGGAATGGCTGGGGGAGTATTTTTCCTCCTGCCAAAAGAGGGAATCTGCAGTCTGCTCATATTGTAGCCGAGTGATGAGAGCGCAAAGAGGTTGTCTGAAGTGAGGAGATCTGAGCAGGAAGGAATATCGTTCAGAACGTATCTCTTCAAGTAGTTACTCCTATCCCTGCAAACACTGTAGCTCAAGTCATCACAAGGAATTCCCAAGGAGCGGCATAAGTAAGTGCAAAAACGAGGAACGCATGTTTCACAGGGGCAGTCATGTTTATGGGATTTGAATTTTTTATAGGAGGAGACAGAGCAGACACCAAAGGCGCTCGGGATTGGGTAATCCTCTGCAGCCGGCGAAGACCAAGCCCCACTAATACCCACTATGCTATCCCTCCAACCCTTTTCAGATTTTATTGTGTCAGTGCATATGGACATCTTCTCGAACGGGTAGAGGTGGTAGAAGGGCTCGTTGGTACGGATCTTACTGACCTTATAGCACAGAAGGAGGTCTATGAGGTCAAGGTCCAGATTTCTGTCACGCATCAATAATAGCATAACAGATATGATCCTAAAGAAGTTGGGGTTGACCTGCAGAGGGGATATCCCCAATCTGTTGAAGACGTAACTAAAGAAAGGGTGCAGAGGGAACCTAACAACATTCAGTTGAAGGTTCGTGAATAAGACTTCGCCGGGCAGGAGGCCGGCGCCGGTCGTAATATTAACGTCTTGGGGGCAAACCCTAACTTCGATGTTGTCAGGAAGTCTAAGTCTCATACGAAGAACACCCAGATCTACAACCATGGTGGAAGTGCAAGAAGAATCTAAAAGAGGGAAAATGGAAGCCTGCCGAAAGTAAAAAGAACGAAACTAACCTCGGAGGACTGCAGGATCGCTGAGAGAATGACTCTCGAAGGATTTCACCGGAAAAGGCTTAGCACAGTTCTAGAAAGAGGGAGATTTGGCTGATGATGGAGACGGTAAAGGGAAGTGAAGTGGAATTCTAGAGCATTATAAAGGCAAAGGGGCCCGAGGGCCGAAGCGTCGGGAAGGCAAGAAATCCCTCGAACCCCGGAACATTGATTCTGGATCTGACCGTTCGCTCCCCTACGTGGTTATCTCGAGCCGTCAGCGTCATGATGAGACGCCATCAATAATTACCCCTTATTAAATAAGGGGCAATTATGGGGGCAGTTGAGGAGGCCCTGGATGACATGGGCCAGGTCCGACTCGCAAAACACAACCTTCAGTCCGAACAGCTGGGTCAGCCCATAGAAAGACACTGCCATATGGGCCGGGCGGGAGTAAGCCCATCAAGGGTGACCAGGGCTTACAGAGGAATAGGCCCAGGTCCAGCAATTAGTAAATATCTTGTAAATATCTTGTAAATATCTTGTAAGTATCTATAAATAGGAGTTGGAATGAAGGGGAGGGGGATCTTTTTTGGGGTTGAGGTGTAAGAATTCTAGAGAGAGAAAGAATAGAAGGAGTTTCTTGCATCTTCAGTGCCCGAGTCAATTGATGAAGCCGGTGAAATAATGGTAGGTGCTTGGTGATGGAGCTCAGTGGTGACGGACCAGATGAAGAGGAAGAAGAGGAATTTTGGGTCTGCAAATATGGGGTTCTCTTCCACTGTTTTTCCACCATCATCGATGCCTCTGCAATTTTGGGTCTGCAAATATGGGTTCTCTTCTACTGTTTTGCCACTGTCGTCTGATGATGGGTTCTCTCGGATACATTGATCCTTACTACCTGGACCAAATGATAGGAAGATGAGGAATGGTACGGAGAGGGCCGGCGGCTTGGACGGCAGGTTCTTCGCCACCGGTGACCCGATTCAGAAAGCAAAAAAAATAAAAATAAAAATAAAAAATAAAAAGAATATTAACTAAACTCACCAGCCTATTAGCAGATGACACGTGTCGCTAGTATGCATATAAAGTGAAGTGTGTGTTTTTATGAAGTGGAATCTTGCAGTGAGAAGTGTTTGGGTAGAAGAATAAAAGAGTTTAATTCAACAGATAGGAAATTCGTTGAAATCTGAGAAAATGGCAAAAATAATAGATTAGTCATTTTCTTCACTTATTTGAGCCGACAATGTCTGACAGTGGTATAAATGAATTAAACCCAAAAAATTTACCCAAATGACGAGTATACTACTTTGGTATCCAATGATTTTGTTGTTTTCTGATACACTCCGATCTGCGCTGTACAGCCTCTCAAAATATGAAATTCTCAAAACTTTTCTCATATATATATATATATATATATATATATATATATATAACAGATTGCCACAAGACTAGAACTTGAGTGCTAAGTCCCTTTTTTTTTTTTCTTTTTTTGAATTTTTGTGCAGATGTGAGCTGAAAAGTCATATAAAAAAGCAAAAATAATGCATTAATTAAAATAAAAAAAATAATGGTTAAAGTGTCAGCACAATTGAAATAGAATTGCTAAAATATAATATTTTAAAAGAAATTTATCATTAAAGTAGAATTACTAAAATATAACATTTTGACACTGTAACTTATCTTAAAATACAATTTTAGCATGAAAAAATAACATTTTACATTAGAAATCTTCTGCATTGATACAAACACAAATATTACTACAAAGATAGCGAACTATAAAGAATTACTCATTGACATTGCATTCATTAGCTATGCTTGATCAGAGCAGCATAAGATGGTGATGGAGCAATCGGAGGCGTTCGTGGATGATCAGACGTTTCCTGCACCGTAGAATTATCAACACGACAAGGTATGTAACGGTTTTTCTGGTCTGATGAGCATGGTTGTTGCTCTGTGAAGAAGGAATCACACTCTTCTTTACTTCTCTGTGATGGAAGATCTAAAATGCAATTCATATTTACATCAAGCACATTTCTCATAATCAACTTTCTGCATTCCGGTCCAACCTGCGTAAAGTAGTTGTTGTTCAAGGTAAGCTTGTACAAGTTCTTGAGCCTGCACACTATCTCCGGTACCTCCCCGTATAACCGGTTAAAAGACATGTTCAGCCGCTCCATCTTTTCCAGGCAACCGAAAGAAAATGGTATCCCACCTGTCAAATGGTTGAGGCTGGCGTCGAAAATGGTCACTTTCTTCAACAACCCAATCTCATGCGGAAGGCAGCCAGACAACCGGTTGTGCAGAAACAGCACCTCAATCAACGTGTTCGAAGCTCGGCCGATGCTTTTTGGAATTGGACCGGTAAATTTGTTGTTTGCTAAGGTGAGATAAAGCACCGGAGTGCTGCCTAGGCTGTCCGGTAGGTGTCCACTGAAACAGTTGTTGTTGAGGAAGAGAACGTCGAGGTCGAGTTTGAATACCTGAGGTGGCAATGTACCGGTAAGGTTGTTGAACCTAAGGTCCAAGAAGGTCAAGTTGGTGGCGGCAAGGACCTCGTTTGGAAATGATCCAGTGAGCTTGTTGTTGCTCAAGTCAAGCTCGAAGAAATATGGGAGTGTGGCAACTTTGGCGGGAATGGGGCCGGTGAAGTTGTTGGAGTTGGCGTGGAAGAAGACTAGGTCTTTGAGGTCTTCAATGAAGTCATTGACAATGAGTGGATAGCCGTTGAAGTGGAAGCCGTTGAACTTGACACCAGCAACTCGGAACCTGTCGGTTGAATTGATTTTGCCGCAGATGAAGCCTTTGTATTTAGAGTTGTCTGTGCAGATACCTCTGCCTCGCCAAGTTTTTGTAACGCCTAGTGGGTCCTGAGTTATTCTGTTCTTGAATTTTCGGATAGTGCGGATGTCCCTTAAGAGTTCAGGTGCAACGGGTGGAGGTGGAGGTGGAGGTGGAGGTGGCGGCGGTGGCGGAGGAGGAGGCGGAGGTGGAGGTGGCGGCGGTGGTGGAGAGGGAGGGGGTGGGCATTTTGGCTTTGGAGAAGGAGGGGGCGGTGGCGGCGGCGGTGGAGGTGGCGGCGGTGGTGGAGGGGGAGGGGTTGGGCATTTTGGCTTTGGAGGGGGAGGGGGTGGGCATTTTGGCTTTGGAGGAGGAGGGGGCGGTGGCGGCGGCGGTGGAGGTGGCGGCGGTGGTGGAGGGGGAGGGGTTGGGCATTTTGGCTTTGGAGGGGGAGGGGGTGGGCATTTTGGTTTTGGAGGGGGCGGAGGTGGACGTGGAGAGGGAGTAACGCAGTGCCAATGATCTGGAGAGGGAGAGGGAGTAACGCAGTGCCAATGATCTGGTTCTGGAGGGTGAGGAGTGTAATCTCTTTCGAGTGCTTTTCTATTGTTTTGGGTAGCTGAAGTACTAGTAGTATAACCATCTGCTAGTTGGAAGACTAAAAAGTTGAGAAGTAGAAAAGTAGCTGAAAAAGAGAGGTTCCCCATCTCTCTCTCCTTGATCTCTCTCCCTTACAACTGCAAGTGCTGACAATTCCAGCAAAAAAAAGGAAGAGGTAGATATATAGGGGAACACAAAGGAAGACACTGCTCACTCAAAAGTGTAATAACCCAATCGAATTCCTACATCCACCACGGATTAAAAAAAAAAAAAAATGAAATTTGTAACTCAGGGATTGTGCTAATCGCATCAGATTGTTATACTCACGTATAAGTGGCAGATTAAAAAAAATCAAATACCTAACTCATGAATTGAGCGGTTAAAAATTCGATCCAATCTGTAAAATATATGTATATATTTTTTTAAAGAATATATTAGTTAATTTAATTAGTTAATGATAATTTAATTTATTCTAAAAATGTATTAGTTAATAATTATTTAAATATATGAATTAATATTAATAAATTAAAATTTTATGCATTGGGTTAGGATTAAAAGATAAATAAATAATAAATAATATTATTTATAAAAAGAAGAATAAAAATAAAAATAATAATAAATAATTTAGACAAAATTCAATCCGTGAATTCAATCTGATCTAATCCGTTATTATACGGATCTAATCCATTATAATTCATGAAATAACGAATCGATAGCGGATTAAAAATCTCCTAATCCGTTAAAAATGGACCGAATTAAAATGGCCAGCCTCCAAGGGACTCATCATGGATTAGATCATAGTTGAAAAGGTCAATAGAACAAGACCTTTGTTGGGGTCCATTAAATGAGTTGTCTGATGTAGCTTGCGTACCTTTATGAAGGGAAAAATTTAATAAAACTATTCGAAGCTGGAAAAGCACATGGAGACACTGTCCCTAAATGTCGGTAAGCTCTCTTCAGTGCATGCATATGGCTATTTACCTACCACAACCTTACCTTATTGTTTTTGAACTTTCTTTGGAGTGCTTTCTATTGTTTTGGGTAGCTGAAGAGTAGTATAGCCATCTGCTAGTTGGAAGACTAAAAAGTTGAGAAGTATAATAGCAGCTGAAAAAGCGTGGTTCCCCATCTCTCTCTTCCAACTGCAAGTGATGACAATTCCAGAAAAAAAAGGAAGAGGTAGTAATATAGGGGAACACAAAGGAAGCCACTGCTCACTCAATAGTATAATAACGGATCGGATCGGACTAAATTATTACACCTACGAATCGATGACGAATTAAAAAAAATTAAATATATAACTCACGGATTTTGCGGATCGGATCGGATTGCTCCACGGATCGGTGATAGATTAAAAAAATTAAATTCGTAACTCACGGATTGAGCTGTTAAAAATTCGATCCAATCCGAGTTCGATATGTGAAATTTATATATATATTTTTAAAGAATATATTAATTAATTTAATTAGTTAATGATAATTTAATTTACTCTAAAAATGTATTAGTTAAAAATTATTTAAATATATGAATTAATATTAATAAATTAAAAATTTATGTATTGGGTTAGGATTAAAAAATAAATAATATTATTTATAAAATATAAAAATAATAATAAATAATTTAGATAAAATTTAATCCGAAAATTTAATCCGATTTGATTCGTTGTTATATGAATTCGATCCGTTTTGATTCATTAATTAAAAGGTTAAATTTTTTTTAATATGTTAGAAACGGATAAAATTAAAGTTGATGTCTATTTTGATATATGATAAGATATGATATGATATGATATGTCGCCACCCCACAAGGAACTCATCATGGATTAGATCACGGTTGAAAAGGTCAATAGGAGTCGTTTGTAGTGGTCCATTATATGAGTTATACGATGTAGATTGCTGACCTGATGAAGGCATTAACTGCAGCAATGAAGGTGTCTGTTCCTTTTCAGAAAAAACTATTTGAAGCTGGAAAAGCACATGGAGACTGTCCCTAAATGTAGGTCAGCTCTCTTAAATGCATGTCTATGGCTATTTTTGCCTACCACAACCTTCTTATCTAATTGTTTTTTGAACTTTCTTTGATAACTGCCGTCAGAGTCCGAATTCTTATTCAGTTGTTTAATTTCTATTATACCTTTGTTAATGTGATTTAATATTTTTTTTTTTAAAAATGTCTATTTAGTTGAATAAAAAAATAATGATTACTATAATGTACTATGTTTAGTAGAGTTATACTTTGTTGATGATGTGGGTAAAGTATGTGTTAGATGATTAAGAGGTGAATTTGGTTTAAAGGTCATTATTATATTATGTTGATGCAAGCTGTTGGAGAGGAGCTTGGAAATGTATTTCTAAATAGTAATCATATATTATATTATTAGGAGTTTCTACTGGACACTTATTTGAAAGCTGTGGTGGTTATATACATACAATGGATATGTGTTTTTTTATATTTATTTATATTAAAAAGGTGACAATAAAGCTTTAATTGAAAGCTTTCCATGTGACCCCCGCTGTTACATATATAATACAATATTATAACTAGAGTTATACAGCAGTATCTTCAAGCACATGCTAGAAAGCCCCACCCACACATGACACTTGGCATAGAAATAAAAATAATATCGTACTAAAGCTAAACATTTAATTTTCCTCGGCTAGCGGTATAGAAGAGATATAGAGAAATTGTTGAACAGAAAAAACAGAGAGGAAAGAGGGTGATTTCAGGTGAGAAAGAAAGAAAGAAAGAAAAGGGTAGAAGAAAAAGGCAAAAGGATTTTTGCTAGATTGTTACTACAGACGTAGTAAAAATGAAATTCAAAATTTTACATTCTGTATTTAATATTAATTTTGTGAATTTCTGTGTAAAACCTCGTTCATGGATTGTGAATAAAGTGCATCTATTTTATTGATTTATTCCACATAATTCATATATATGAACGTTAAGATAAGGGTTGGTTAGATGCAATTGTTAAAGTTGAAATTTTGTATAATTGAGTCTGATTACAATTTTTCATTATAATTGTGTGTACTATGGTTCGGAGGTATTATTGAAGTGATGACTATTATTCATTTTTCTTGGAAATAAGTAAAACATGGTTATTGGTGTTATATAAATCACAATTATTTGCTTATCTAACGTAATTCAGGTATGAAATTTAGTAATGGGTAGTAAGAGAGAATGATGAAATTGAGAGAGTGTATAAAGGGTTGTGATTAGAATTTTAGCTATAATTTTGTATAAAATTTGAGATTTATAATGGAAGTGATAATTGTGATTTAATTCTCTTTAGAAATGGGTATGATGTGATTTCAATTTTGTTCAGGCGAAGAGAAGGAGCAGACAATTTCAACAATACCAAAGGATAAGTGAATAATTTGTGAAGTAACCAAGGTGAATGTACTCACTGGAAGTTTATACTTGCATGTGTTTAATTGAAGTATTGAAACTGTTTATGTGAAATGAAGATGAATATATATATATATAACTTGATTATATTATATAAGATCCGTACTCTGGCTTGGAAGGAGAGTAATATATTATATAAGGTCCATACTCTTACCTGGAAGGAAAGTAATATATTATATAAGGTCCATACTCTGGCCTAGAAGAAGAGTACTATATTTTAATGCCTGTAAAGCTGAAAGTTATATGTTAATGTAGTTTAATTAAAGTTGTCAGATAATATTTGTTTATATTATGCTGATGTAGTAGTGTTGCATTCACTGGGATTTAAGCTTACTCCTTCCATATCTATATTTTTCAAGTATTAAGTTGGGTTGCTACTGCTAGGTCTAGAGTCTTGGGTGTGAATGGGAAAAAGAACAATGGAACGTCTTTTGTATAAAATGTAAATATTATAGTAGAATTTAATATTGTGACTTATAGTTAATTGTTGAGTTTTTTTAGAACTTGCAAGGTGGATTTATAGTTTATTTTTAATTGTAAACTTTTAAACAGGCACTCTGATATATGATGATGTCACGTATGTATGAGGTTAATGCAGATGGTTAGTTATATTCCAATTATTCAATTTATTAAATATTGTAAATTGGGTTGGGGTGTATCAACTGCACTGTCAGGTTAGGAAGAATGGATACTTCATTAGAGGTGCTGTCGCGGTATTGAATACTTGTCGGATATAGTTCGGAAACGTGTCAGATACGACTCAAAGTATCTTGAAATTTAAATATATTAGTTTCCGATGAGACACAGCTTAGACACGACATGAAAACGGCAATGATACTTTTAGACATTTTCAGGTGGATTGGTTTTGTAATTATTCTTTTAAAATAATATATTTTTTTAAAAAATGTTTAAATATAATAAAAATATATATTATGGGTTAATTATAAACATAATATAAAATTTAGAAAAAAATAAATAATAATAACGGACATCTAACTCTAAGTTCCAAATTAGTAATTTTATCCTATATGTAACTGTAATTACCTAAGTCGTTGATATTTTATTTGGACGCTAAAAATACCAAAAATAAATATGGAAAGAAGCTGAAGAGGTTTTGACTACCCATCTCTCTCTCTGTGTGATTTCTCTATTCATCTTCTTCGTTCTACTGCTTCCTTAACAAAGCAAAATGAAGTGAATCGGCTCCGTTCCCACTCTAGCTCAAATCGACGAAGAACTCTCCTATCACGGAACTACATGCTTGGATTCTTTCTCTCTCTAACTCATGGTTCTCTCTTTTCTACCTTGCAAAAGTGAAGGGAAAACAAAACATTGAGAAATCTCTATTGGTTCATAAAATCAAAAGGGAAAATACATATAAACGTATATGTTTGCTTGAAGATTGAAAAAAAAAAAAACAAATCCTAATAAAATCGAAGGAGAGAACATGATTATTTTTTTTTCTTCTTTTTTTTAAAATTTTTTTTTTTTTTGGAATAAGCTTAATTTTTAGTAATTGCAAAGACTCAACAATATTGGTGATGAACGAGTAAATTTTGAATAAGCCTAATTTCATTGGTGATGATTACACTTTTTTTTTTTTTTTTGAAAATAAACCAAAGTTTTTGTAATTGTAGAGACCATCAATATTGGTGATGCACAAGTACAATTTTATTATGGTCTTACCATAGTCTTTTGATGGAATACCCCATCTGTGTAATTTTGTATGGTTTAACATTGTAGGGCTTAATTATTTTTGGGGCTTTTCTGGGTTAGGGCAAACACTCAAAATTAGGACTTTTATGTTTATTTACCTTTTGCTTTAATTTTGTTACAATTTTGCTATTG